AAGAAGAAGAAGAAGAAGAAGAAGAAGAAGAAGAAGAAGAAGAAGAAGAAGAAGAAGAAGAAGAAGAAGAAGAAGAAGAAGAAGAAGAAGAAGCCAGGCTTGATGACACATGCTTTTAATCCTAGGAGACAGACAGTCAGATCTTGAATGTTTTCTGTTGAGGCCAGCCTGGTCTACAGAGTGAGGTCTAGGACAGCTAGGGCTAAACCGAAAAGCCCTGGTGGGTTATAGGCCTAGAACTCAATACTTAATGAGTGGAAGATACTTAATGGGGACTGGACTGCCTTGTGGAGGGTCCGCAGGCCTCACCTTGTATATTTTTTCAGTGATGAAGCAGTGGTCTCGGAGGGCTTCGAAGAAAGGGAAAGGCTTGTTGATGGCATAGGCAATGTCCAGCTTCGTCTGAATGAAGTGCTGGAGAAGAACGTCCTCAATGGCCTTTGTCATAGTGAACATCCTGGGGAAAGAGGCAGGCTGAGGAGACAGAGGCAGAGGCTGTTCAGAGTATGGGGAGTTGCTCTCGTTGGAATGAGTACTTGAAGGTAGCTATTTTAGTCCTCAAGCATCCCTTAGTGGTCTATAGACCCAAGTCTAAAAGATCTGTGCATACAGAAAACAAAGGCAGTGCCCAGCGACCACAGAGGCTGAGAGTGACAGACAGTAGCATGCCACCACCCTGAAAGGCATTTTCAAGCATGAAGTTGTTTTTTAAAATATCTGCTATTCCCTGAGTGGTTGTTATGTCCAGCCTTTGTTCTTAGGATTTCACTGGTAGTAGCTTCCTGAGTTCACAAAGTATGTAAGATGCTCACTGTCATTGCAACTATGTAGCTGTGGAGAGCTCCAATGCAGACAAGGGTGGGGTAACTCTCATGCTAGATGACCGCACTGCAGCTGAGCCCATCCCGTACCAATGTTCTCAAGAATAGGGACCGCCAAATGTGGGCAGCTAGAGACCTGGCCATATTTAGACACTTAAAAAAAACATATTTTTACAAAAACAGGTGACACAAAATAAAACCAGGAACGGTGTGAAAAATAGGATTGGTCAAAGTGATGTCACCGTTTGGATTTATAAACCCACCTCATTCTTCCAGACAGACCTGTACCTGTTCCCATAACCATATGATGTTCATAAAAACCGACCACTTCCAGATCATGAGGAAATAACCAGTCAGTTGTAACAGGACCAAAACTTCCTAGGTGACACAGCAATGGCAGAGTGTTGTAAAAGCAGAAACCCTAGTAATAGTAAACAGTGCCATCATTTGGGGGAGCTCTTGGTACTCGGCAGTCCTGGGGACTGAGCCCTTTTGCTTCTTTGGTAAGTGCCCTATCACTGAGCTATGCCCCCAGCTAACACTGAAGTTTATTTTGTTTTATTTTTAAACACAAAGCAGACAAGGATACCCCTTTTCATCTTGTGTTAAATAGAATATTAAACTGTAATTAGTGAGTGTTTCCAGGGATTTAATCCCAGTGGCAAACTAAGCAGTCCTGTTCATTTCTACTAATTTCCAAATTCCTAACCTTGGCAGGGGAAAAAAATGAGGAAAGAAGAAGGAGAAGGAGGAGGAGGAAGAGAAGGAGGAGGAGGAGGAAGAGGAGGAGGACAAGGAGGACGAGGAGGAGGAGGAAGATGAGGAGCATCATCATCACCCGCTGCAGGACTGTAGGGCAGAACAATGGAAGTACCATCAGCAGCCTTCAGTCCTGAGAAAATCCTGGCAGTCGAGGACAGGTGTGAGAGAAAGTTGTTGACAGAGCTCATGTGGAGAGAGGGGTGTCCAGAAGGGATACACACTCTGGGCTCTGTTTAGGATGGCTTACTATACAACAGGATTCAGACTGAAGACAGTGACAGTGTTCTCATTCCTCATCTGCCATGGTTTCCAAATGATGAAAACCAGACTCCAGAGAGGTTAAGTAACAAAGCCCAAGGAAATCAATGGTACAGCAGAGTCTGCCTGGTGCTAATTTTTTTTTTTTTTTTGCAAGATACTGTATCTCAAGCCTGACAAAATGACTCATAATCTCTGTGGAGTTTGAGGCCAGCCTGGTCTACATAGTAAGTTCCAGGACAGTCAGAGCTACATAGTGAAACTCTGTCTTCAAATGAAAACGGAAAAAAAAAAAAAAAAGATACTGTATCTCATAGACACCAGCATCCAAGTTTTTATTATGTTAAAGGGTCTTACAAATAAATTAGAAAAAGGCAAACACACAGTAGGAAAGACAAAGCCCAAACAAAACAATAAACTAAGCCACATGTACAATCAGTGCATTAAAACGCAGCAAGTGGGAGTAACCAGGAAAGTGGGAACGACTTGACAGTACATATTCATATCAAAGCAGCCTACAGTGAAAACGGTAGTCATAATCCCTGATAATGGTTGAAAAGTAAACCAGCTCAAGGGTTCCCTGCCTCATTTGGTAATCCGCATCATGAACCCTAAAATACGAATCCCTTTGAATTTTCATGCACAGGAATATATTTCAAGGAAATGAACATAAATTTGTCAAAACAAACAACACCCCCCCCCAAAAAAAAACGAAACCTCATAACAGGCTACAGAGATGCTCCGTATTTTTCTCTTTCTCATTAGCTTCAAAATTAGGCAAATGCCTGGTAGATGCTGAAGGCACCACCCACCGTGGGCACATGCAGGGTTCAACCTTAGAAGCAAGCACAGGAAACTGTCCCCAACAGTCTTTAACTTCCCGAAAAGAAACTGTGTCTTAGCTTCCACTGCGCGCTCCTCCCGGCCCCTTATCCACCTCCTAATAGGTCCTAGGCACCCGCCCCACGACTCTGGAAAACACTACTTTGTCAAGAGACAGCCTGGGGACCCTAAGGTCCAGCAGGTAAAAGCTGATCCCCAAGAATGAAGACTCCAGCTTTGCAGAACCCAAGAGCAGAACGCACCTGGATGCTGGGCTGTCTCCTGTCTCTTAGGTTCATTAAAGCGGCCAGAGATGCTTTAAGGAGATCCTGGACCCTGCCAGGAGACGCCTTTTGGGAAATCTTGCTGCCCTGGCCTTGCCGCGTTGGGTTTCCAGAAAAGAAAACCGAAAGTGATCTCAGCACACAGAGCAGGAAGGGAGTGTGCCACTTCTGTCCCCGTGTCCTCCCCCAACCCCCCATCTCCCCGCCCTCCTGCCTCGGGCCTAGGGAATCCCCAACAGCATTAGTACTTTGGGTTACAGAGGCCCTGCTGAGAATCCAGGACCTTCTGGAGTGCAGTAACAGGCGGGGGAGGCTAAAAACCAGCTCCTGAGAACATGGAAGGGGGTTTCCACTGTCTCCTTCTCAGTCTGTTGCCTCGTTTTAATCTTTTCTCATTTTAATCTTTGTGGAGCACTGAAATGTTCTCAAACTGGATTGAGAATAAATTTGCTAGAAATCGTCAAATTGGAAACAAGAATAAAGCTAACCAGAGCTGACATGTTTAAAATGCCTAGAGTCTGTCAGGAGAAAATTGAAAGAAAAGGCAAGGAAGTGAATCCCACTCCCACCCCATCCCCAGCAGGTGAAGCCAGGCAGACTGGGGCTGCACAGCCTTTTGAAGATCCCTGAGGAGCCTGAAGCAGGATCTTTGAGAAGCTTTCAACTGAGAGTTCTGTGGAACTCTGCTACGTTTCCCAAATGTATTGACACAGGGAGAACTTCCTCCCAGGACCCCCATGAGGACTCTGCGGCTTCAGATTTGGACCAAGGCTAGCCCACACAGGAGAGAGCCCCTCTGGTCTTCTTATGGAGGCACCTATAGGCACATTGCGGCCAAGCACAATCAGAGCAGCAGACTTGACCCAGACTGTCCCAGGAATGGGGACTGAGAGAGGAAGGAGAACAGCAAGTTCAAGTTCATGCAGGGTATGTGGGGGCATGAGGGCAGGCTTGTGTGCCAGAAAAATGCCCCACCCCAAGATTCCTTTAGAGCCAGAAAAGCTATTACAGTAGGCAGATGTAAATAAGGACAAAAGGCATCATTATATACCAACATACTCAAGAGTATAGTAATAATGCTAAAGCCTCGCCTGCTCATTCACACCAGGTGAGAGCCTATTAAGACTATATATTTTAGCACAGTTTTAGAGCTATGTAAAATACATTCATCTAAAGTGATGATTTTGGTGAATTTCGCCACAAGGAAGACACAGGTCATCTCCCCCTCCACCCCTGTCTGAAAAAGGACCCTATTCTTGACAAAGAAAATCCCTCCTGGACTACGACCCCAGGTAACCACAGATCGACTGTTGCATAGCTAAGTTTGGTATGAAAATGTCATATAAATACATATTCATTAAGTATACTTTTTGGTGTACGGTTTCGTTTGCTCATCAGTGTACTCTTGAAACCTGTTGGTGCAGGTCAGAAATTTTCCTCTGCAGCAGAGGTCTGAGCCTTGAATTCAGCACAGGCCTTCAGCCCCATCCACCTTGTCTTTGACACCATATTTTACTTCTATTTTCAGTCTTCTGCTTGTTGTTTGTTTATTTGAGTTTTTACTCTCCCTTCCTTCCTTCCTTCCTTCCTTCCTTCCTTCCTTCCTTCCTTCCTTCCTTCCTTCCTTCCTTCCTTCCTTCCTTTTTATTAGTGTTTTAAGACAGGGTTTCTCTGTGTAGCTCCAAGAACTTTAGGAGGCCACACCTTCCGACTTTTCCGAGCCTGGGGCTCAAATATCAGGTCTAACTCTACAGCTCTGGCTCAATAGGGTTCCAGGACAGCCACAGGTCTGAGAGATTGTGGACAGTTTACTCTTCCTTGTCCTTCCAGGCACCACCCCAGCTAAGGACAAAGGAGACACTTCCTTCCCTTTTTCCGCAGCCACCTCTCCTCAGACAGCTCTGAGCCCTGAGCTGACAGACTCTCCCACCTTTCCTTGGAGTGAAAAAAAAGGATCTCGGCTTTATAGAAACTTGAGTTATCTTTGCTCCTCCAGTCTGGGGAAGAGACTGGGTGGAGGCAGAGTGGAGAGGGAGGAGTGCGGGGAGGATACGGCCGGGAAAGGCCATATGTGAATGCAACCACGGAAGTCACAGCTGAGCGGTTTCACTTTCTTTTTTCTCCTCTTTGAAGGACCTGGAAAGAGTTCTCTCTGAACATCCGAGAGGCTCAGAGGTGGTACAATCCTTGGTTCAGGGCACCTTCAGAGCTGTGTAGGGGATGGCAGGAGGGGACAATGGATCCAGTAGCAGGTAAGTCCTTTCCCCTCTCCTTATCCTGTGTCTCTGCTAAGATCTATGTTTGTATGTGTTACTAGGGCCTCTCAGGCAGGATCCATATGTCCACGGGAATATGAGACAATGAGATCACAAGGAGATTAAGAACTGGGACAAGCAGTTGCCACTGCTGTTGGCTAGCTATTGGGGAGTCCTAAAGCCACCTCAACTCGCCTCACTTCATTTCCTTGCTCCTGTCACATAACTGGACTGACACTGTGTCCACTGGACTTCTGGGAGCTCCTGTAGGAGTGGCTGGCTCATAGGGGCTCTGGCCTCTCATCTCTCCCTAATTATCATTCTAAAAGATAACTTTGTCCAAAAATGGCCACTTAGAAAAAGTGAAAACTTAATTCCTTCTGTTGCCAAGTTTTTCTCAGTCTGAGTGAGGGGACAGCTCACTCTGAGCCCTCCTGTGTGGCTTAGGTCAGTTCGGGAGTTCTGTCACTGACATGGAGGAAGGGAAAGGTGATGAAAACCAAGCAGGTGGGGAACGGGTGTTGCCTTTACGCCTTTAACTTTTTTTTTAATCTTTGCTGGTTACACAGTGATTAGAAATGGATCGAAATTATATTACCTTACACGCACACACACACACACAAACACACACAGAGAAAGGGACTGGAGAGATGGCCCAGTGGTTAAGAGTTCATAATGCTCTATTAGTGAACATGGGTTGGGTCCCCAGCACCCGTCCTGGAGCTTCCAGCTGCCTGTGACTCCAGCTCCAGGAGACCAGGCATCCCCTTAAGTCCTCCACAGGCACTGTGCTTCCATGCGGGAGACACACACTGAGACAGACACACATATACATAATTGCAAAGGAAAATAGAAGAATTAAGACAAAAGTGTATGGAGCTAATTGCCCTCTAAGAGTGACTCAGTCAAGGCTACCTCTGGTCCTGCAAAAGTTCTGAGGAGAAAGCATCGTTTCTCCGATGAAATTTGGTCAAGTCCAATAGTGATGCCGACAGATGGCTGTCTCTTTTGGGAGTGGGGTGGTATAAATTACTGGTTCAGTTTCTTTACTACAAGTGTGTTTGGGTGACACGTCTCTCAGAGCATGACTTTTGGTAGTTTCTGTTCTTAAATACATTGGTCATTTTTGTTGCAGCTGTCATCCAGTCTGCAGATACGGGATGACTGTTCTATCTCGTCTCTGCCGCCCTTTCAGTGTCTGAAAAATTCATAGCTTGCGTCTTGTTGTTTGTTTTTTCCTTGTTAACCTGACTAGAGATATAATTTAAAAAGATAAAGATAAATTTATCGATCTTTCCAAAGGAGTAGTTTTTTGGTGTGATATATATATATATCCACACCACTTTGGTGTAAGGATAATGCTAACTTATTTTAATTTTATAGATTTCTACTTATATTTTTATTACATCTTTTGTTTTCATTTGGGATGAAATTGTTTTTCTTATTCTCCTGATTTTTCAGAAGATTTTCATATACACCTCTCTTAGCTTTTGATACATACATTTAATGCAATACATTTTCCCCAGCCACTGTCTTTGTTGCATGTCTGCTTTAATTTTTTTTTAACTTCAGGGCAGGAGGAAGGGCGACATTTTTACCTGTCTACACCCATAGGGTTGTTTTTTTTTTTAAATTACATTCATTTATTGTATGTGTGCAAGTATACACAGTGTGTATATTGAGATCAGAGGACAACTTGTGGGAGCTGGTTGTCTCCTTCCTAATGAGTTTATGGGGATCAAACTCAGGTTCTCGCATAGACCTGGTGCAGGGTCTTCATCTACTGAGCCATCTCACCAGCCCCTAAAATGGCTCTATTTTATTTACAACATTAGTGGCAGTTTTCGAATGTATTCTGTTTTCAATGATTATATTTAGACCATTCACATATAGACCGATTATGAACACAGGGTAACATCTACCATGTTTATAAATGCTTTCATTTTACTTTTTTCAGCCTTCCCTTCTTGTAGCATCAACTCTAATTGTTTTCAATAAAAACTTTCAAGTACTGAGATTAAAGGTGTGAGCCACCACCAACTGGCTCTGTTTCTCTTTTAGACTGGCTCAATCTTGTATAGCCCAGGGTGGCCTGAACTAGCAGAGAGCCCTCTGCCTCTGCCTCCCGACTCCTGGGATTAAAAGAGTATTCCACCACTGCCTGGCCTCTAGTGGTTTAGTTCTGCACTCTTATCTCTAAGCAAGCTTTGTTTATTAAAACACAAACAAAATATCACTGCACTTTCTTTTGGGGCATTTTGGCTTTAGTCAACAGCACTTTATGATTGATTCTTTTTTTCCTTGATTTCCTTCATCATTTTTTTTTGTCTTGTTTTGTTTTGTTTTTCTTTTTTTTTTTTACAGTACTGGAGATTTCTTCTGGGCATCCTCATGGGAATGATTTTTGGAGAAACCTTTGTATCTTATGGCTCTTTGTTTTTGCTAAGCAGTCTATTTTCTTCACTGCTCATTGCTTTGTGGCATTTGTAGTTTAGTTTTGACACCGTGGCACTCTTGGGTTTCTGATTAATTTGCTGCATTGCTCTAGTTTGGTCACAGCATCCAATGTGAAACTGTACTGTTTTAGTTTATCGTCTGTGAAATAATTCAGCTGTAACTCCTGGTTTTGCTCCAGTTCACTTATGAGGAACTGAGTTCAGATCCCTAGAACTCACATAAAATCTGGATGTGGCGGTGTGTGTTTTTAACTCCAGAATTAGGGCAGCTGACACAGTTGGCTCTCTGAAGTTCACTGGCCAGCTAATCTGACTGAATTAATGATATTCAGGTTCAGTGAAAGACCTTGTCTCAAAAAAAAATGAGAGCACCTGGACCCCTTACCACAACACCAGGCTCATATACATGAGCACACACACACACACACACACACACACACAAAAACTTCCTTAAGTTTAAGATAAAAATTATTGTATAGTTTTGTTATATTATTACATGTGGAATATAGACTCTTTGTGAAACGTAATGCTTCTGAAGTTTTTTAATATTGGATATTTTTTATATCCTTTATGTTTGTCGTGTAGTCCTGACTAGCATGGAATTCACTATGTAGACCAAGCTGGCCTTTAATTCATGGTGAACCTCCTGCCTCCCGCCCTGAAGTGCTGGGATTAGAGGTGTGCTTAACCACACTCTTTTTCCTTAAAAATTGTGGGGAATGTCTAGAGCTAGCTTTCTGGGTTAAATCTAACGTGAGTTTCCATTAGTTACAAACTTCAGACTTTTAGAATATTTATCCTTAAAAGTAGTAGCAACGGACCTATCACTATCACAGTACCGTATTTTTATGGAAAATAATAATATTTTCTAAAATAACAATAAAGGAGGGGATGTAACCTTGCATTACCTTCTTGCAAATGCTTTTACTCTCCTGCTTAGGCAAGGTTCCCAGACTTCCCTGGTTACATCTGTGTCTAATCTGCTGTGATGCCATAGCCCAGGGAACCTCTGAGAAGCCCACTGGATACTTTCGGGAGGAGGAAAGAGATAAAGGGCAGGTGGTAGTTCAATATTAGTCTGAGAAGAGCGTGTACTCAGTGACATCTGAAGAAGCCTTGAGCAGTGTCAGGATTGCTCAGAATACACCCCTAAATTCACCATTTGCAATAATTTAGCATTAGGTGACATTAAAAAAAAAGTTGTACCCTGAGTGACAGCACCAGTTGATGTGCTGGTATGGATGAGGGAGGGGCTCTCACAAGGCCCCACCCCTAGATGAAGAGCTACAGGGAATCTACCAGTATCCTCTAGGGATAACCTAATTCTGTTAGGTTATCCAGTCCCTAGTGGTTAGCCCTAAACACATATGCATAGGAGCAACACTAAAAGAACTCAGCAGATTCTATCATCTATCTATCTATCTATCTATCTATCTATCTATCTATCTATCTATCTATCTGTCTGTCTGTCTGTCTGTCTGTCTGTCTGTCTGTCTGTCTATCATCTACCTTTCTCTGT